TCATCACGGCCAGGCCACTTCCTATGTCTCTTGACATTGCCGCGGCAGAATTAGTCACAGCATCAGATGTAAATTGGCGCTGTTCAAGGATGATAATGAGCGCCAAGATACATGTCGGTGTCGGTGACGCCACGCCGCCGTGATGGGCTGTACCTAAAGCCGCCTTCCATCAGGCCTAATGGCGTTCCGGTAAGGGCAGGAAGGTGGGAGCAGGGAATGGACAAGGAGAGAAAGTTTTCTTGTTTTGGGCGCCTGTTGCGGAGAATGACGTGAAACAAAGTCAATTCAACGATTCAAACTGGAATTACTCAGAAGGCAGAACAATCCGAAACATATCGATTTGATTTGAGTGATGTGTGTCACTTCAGTACTGCAGGAGGCAGCCATTTTGTGAGGCAGATTTCAAACAGGTGCCAACCAGGAAGCTTTTGTCCACTTGCGCCCCTTCTGCTGGATCTAGTGGGTCTTATTTTTATTATACACTTCCCACAAAAAGATACGGTTAATCAGATGAAGTTGAAGGAGGAATCTAAAATGAACTCTATCCTATACAGGTCAACTTAATTTGGCCTTCTCTCCCCTTTTCCATGCCCACGTTCAACTGTTGAATGTCTCAGTACTTGTTGCACAACTTGCTCTTCTCCAGCAAAGTCTGGATTGAAAAAAATCACCTCTGGTGTGTAATTCATGAATGGACATTTCCAAGGAGATTGATGCTTTTCTGTGACTCGTCCAGTCTCCATCTATTTCTCTTGCTCCCTGCTGATGACACACTACTTCCCTGTGAACATTTTTTTGAAGCATCACAATATAGCCAGTTACTACTGTCATCTTGTCATCATTTCGAAATTTAAAAAGCATGGCAAGAACGGTTTAAATCCGAGCTCTGATTGAACCTCTTGTCATCATTTCGAAATTTAAAAAGCATGGCAAAAAGAACGGTTTAAATCCAAGCTCTGATTGAACTAGGAGATGTGCTGGTCGATTCATGAATAAAACACCTGCTGTGTATTTTGTTACAGAACAGCAAGTTGTGCAAAAAGTCTGGGAATGGCTAGATGTGCATTAAAAAGTTTAGAGAGGGACAAATTACATTCATCGAAAGAGGTTACACTTGCAGCATATTTTTAGGTTAATCATGAAATTGCATCCAGAGACCCGAAATCCTTCGCTTTTTTGAGTATTATATGTACATCATGGAGTAGTGTAAAGGTTCACTTCGCTGACCCTGATGCGGCCTGAATGGGGATCATTCCCACCACCAATCACCTGACTGGTGACCAGTGCGCTCATCTGTCAAACCTCCGTCTCACTGTTTTCCAATTGAGAATGCCGGCACATGCATGCGGCGTTTACACTTAGGCTAACATAATACAGTAATGGCTGCCAGTGTTGCCATTTTGCCTGCCCGTGAGCCAGCCAGCGCCTGGCCCAGATGCATACATTTGCCATAATGAGGCAGGTGGCCTCGACAGACGCTCATTCTGTCGCCACGGTGACACCACCGAGCACCGCCTAGCGCTTTGGGCATCTGACTGACAGTGCCAGTCCTAGCTCCGTCCTTCCCACCCTCACTTTTACCGTGTTTTCCCCTCTCTATGCGTCTGTGTGTACATCTACAGTCCTCCGCTTCCCAACAATTCTAAATGAAGATAGCTCGAGGTCATTAACTGAAGTGCCAACACACGAACTGCATTAAAATCTTGCCATAATTAAAATTTAATAAATAATAGATGGTGTATATTTTGCTGTAATTGCCTTCTCGTTAGCCTCCTACTTGCTAATTCGTGCAGGGGAGCTAATTATCGTTTCAATATGAAGCTCGCGGTGTATCCAAAGAGATGTCGAAGATGAAGCAATGAGGTCCCACTGAGGCTATTTCTCAAGGTCAAACCCCTGTTTCCCTCCAAACGCCCTCCCCCCAACAAAAAAAAAAGGGAGCGGTCCAAAATTCCAAATTCCCTGATAGCCGCTTAATTATAAAATTGGTATAGGAAGTGTGAAATGGCACGGATAAAAGCCAGAAGCAACAAGAAGCATTAACGAGAATTCCCAGTGGCCTCAAAGTAAAAACGAAAGCTTAAAATGCAAAATGGGGATTACCAGAAGCTGCTAGCTATACAAAAAAAAAAAAGAAAAAAAAACGTGACAACAGTGAACATTCAAGAAACAAACAATTTTATTCATTTCGTTCATTGTTAGAGCTGTCCTTTAAGTTTTGGTGCATTTGCAGCATGTGGGAGGGGTGAAATCATTTTTTATTTACATGATATAATCACATTGTATGTATAATAATCTAATTGTAACATGTATTTGTTACATATTTTGATGCATTTTTATGCTTTACAAAACATTTCTGTCTGAATTTTGGGGGGAGCATGGAGAGGATTAGGACATTTATATGCAAAACGCGTCTCCACTTACAAAATTTTGTTGTTACGAAATTTCTTACAGAAGTAAGTTTGTAAGTACAGGTACCACTGTGCACCATACTTGATATTGCGGAAACAGAAATACGCTCGCTGGGGTCCATGCATGACATTGGCGGGTAAACTGCAAGACCTCCCCTTACGGATTATGTAGTTGGTCGTGCGTGTGATGTGGGCAATTGGAGACCGCCTTGCAGCCGCGTCCGCATGTGTGTGCGTGTGCGACCCCCACCACATGTAGTAATGGCACTGCTATCAAAGTATTTTTAAGATGATAATGATTATAATTCTTTCAATGAATTGATTTTAACGACTGTCCCACACTTTTGTCTAATTTATGAATGAAATCTGGCGACATCTTCCACACACATCCGCCAAGCTCCGAATCTGTCTGCCTGCACCTCCTATCAAATACACCCATATTGTTTTAACACCAACTCGGCCACACGTTAGACATTTTTTTTACCAAGTGTATGTGTAGTCTACTTTTTGTAACCAAATTTGTAGATGCGCCAGGGGAGCATATAATAGTAAACACCCTTGGTACCATCGCATCTAAACCTCTGTGATCAAATTAGCAGGTGCGTTGGGGGCTTGGCAGCTCCAAGCACATTGACATCACCATACTGTTGTATTCTTCATTTGAAATGCATTTCTAGGTCTTTACCACAGCCTCTTTCAGTTCTTGTTTTTCATTTATCTCTACTAGCAACATCTAGTGAGAGAGAGAATGTTTCTCCACTAAATAGCACTTAACCTGTGTATACACATTTTGTGACATTTTTTGTTTTGTAGTGTGTGGAGATATTTTATTTCCAAAGTGAGTTATGTGCCTTGTCTCAATAAAAGTTGGAAAACACACAAAAAAAAAAAGGGAGAGAGAAATACGTATAGCTGGGAAATAAGACCAAAACTCAAATGGGTGTCGTTCAAAGGCTGCATTGTATTGCACTGTAGCATGCAACATATTTTCTCCCTTGTTTTTCTATTTGAAATGCGTCATTTTGCGTCTTTGAACGCTCCCTGCGTGGCGTCCTCCCGCTGTTTTGTACGCGTTTAATGTATCAGTCATTCGGGTGGGGAGTGACGGCAATGGCATTGTTTTTCAGAAGCGGCGCGCTCTCTCATTTTGCCGCAGCTGCTCCAGGTGAAAGTGAACGTGACACATCTTTGGATGCATGCAGGAGGCATGTTTATTGGGAGAGACGTCTCTTATTCTCCACACGTTTACATCACGCCGAGCTCGGCCAGGGCGCTCTTGATCCAAATCCCTCTGTGGATGCATGAGGAGGTGGGAGGAGCCTGTACATGTTTATTTGTCTGAATGGAAAAGCAATCATTTCAAAGTGGTAGACACAGGAGGTCAGAACTTCACCGGTCGCTATGCCAATTAGTCAATGGTTTTAAATATAGTGATATACACCACAGTCTCCACTATGCTGCAGTGCTACGTTCTTTGAATGCCCTTAATCTTCTCTTGGATCAAATTTGACTCCTTATGGTGCCTGAGAGGTAAATATAATTACTGTACCTTGTGGTTGTTATTGTTTGCCTCTTTCCAATTTATATGTTCAGCGAGGCGTGGTTGTCGCAATTACCCATCCAAATTAAAAACCACCTGCCCTTTAACCTCTGTCACTTCTTTTACTTGCTTTTGGCAAAGGCCAAGACTACGAGCAGTGGGGGCTGATCAATAGAGGGCGCTAGGGTGCTACCCCACCACTCACCTGAATGAGAAAAATGACTTGACTCAACTTGAATGAGACAAAAATTCAATCATGAAAATGAAATTGTTGTGACTGTGTTTTGGGTCCCAGATGAGAGTTGGGATTGTCCTTCATGACGTCCTCTTTATTTTGTCATACATGATTGGGCATGGCCTGAAGACTCAGTTTTTAAGCTCGAGTTGCTCAGTGACACGTCAGATTGTCAAGCTTTCTTCTGTGCCTTCTGCATCCAGACCTGCTCACTGTTATTTGGTATTTTTGTGTTCTGCATCCATCCCTGTTCTCTGTATTTTGAAGAGGAAAAACTCTGTTTGTGCTGTCTGCTTCTGGGTGCAAATTCTGTTGAGGAGAAACATTTTCAACCGGCAGAAGATGCGCCACCATATCCCATTCTGCAAGTGCGCCATAATAGGAAGGAGGAGAGAGGGGTTACGGTGAAGCCAACAAACGTGTTGATAGATACTACTGACTCATGTACAGTATATATTATTAACAATACTGTACATAGCTTTGTATAGCATCATGTTTTTTTTTTTATTAGATTTTTTAAAAATTCAAATCTCTGTCTTCCTGGGCCTTGTTACAAAGTAAAGCTTATAGAAGTTCATCAAACATTCTTCTTTTTTTTATCAAACCTACTCTGTGTAATATGTGGCGACAGGCTCCCAAATAAGATACCGTAATTTTAATGAGTAAAGAACTATCAAGTTTATTATACAACTTTATCCATGTGACAACGTAGACAATATAAAGATTCCCTCCATCCATTTAGAGTGTGCAAAACAACAGCCAGAGAACCAAATTGGGTCGAGGTGCTGATGTAGTCAAAAACTGCGCTGTCCCTTTAAATTAATGAGCACCAGAACATTTCCGCAGTACTTGGCTATTAGGAGGGGAAACTATTTGAAAGTGAATTTTAGATATCCGGTCGTGGGGCTTTTTTTTGCCTGGGAGTGGCAGGTGAGAGACAGACACACACACACACACACACACACACACGCACGCACACGCACACACACACACACACACACACACACGCACGCACACGCACACACACACACACACACACACACACGCACGCACACGCACACACACACACACACACACACACACAGCATGGATGATCAAAAGGGGCCAACGGCTGACGACCATTATGCCAATGACACTCTGAGTAAGAAGTCCAGAGAGCGTGGCGACATGACAGCCATTAGGGATCCAAAGTGGGACTTTAAAGGGCAGCTGAAGGATGACTGTCAGCGCCCAATCAAAGGCGCACCAAGTTAAATCTTCATAATGTATCGCGCAGGAGAACTCCAACGCTTCCAAGGAAAAGAGGTAGAACAAGTGTCCTGTGCACAGCGACGACGCCATGCCCGGGCCCCCAAACATCAAGCAGACCCATGGAACAAAGGCCTGATGAGGTGAGTTCAGAGGGATACCAAACCCAATGGCAGCGAGCGAGCGCCATTGTGCGGATAGATCATTAAGTTTGAGCTAAACTCCAACACCTTTGTTTCATGGGAAAGAGGCATTGAGGAAGTATTACATCACACTTGGTGACCTCTTCAAACTTTTTCACGGAGTGCCACGCACTGTTCTCGCTGGACATCCACAGTTGAGGGCTTATGACTCCATTATTTATTTTGACCAACTAAGCATTTCCATGCATGAAAAAGTCCAACAATAGTCGATGTACTTTTTATTCTTTTTGCGGTTTACATTAAGACAAACCACACAATTGCGACACATTGTAATTTCTTTTCTTGTTGCCGTCTCCCGGCCTTGAATATAAATGTGGTATGATCCCCCATCTTCTGTCATTTTTTAACAACCAGGAAGCAGACTGCTGTTTGCTGACCATCATACAAACAAAATGTTCTTTTACATTTGAATAATTTGTTTTCACTTTTTGCTTTTTGGTATTTGCGTTACAACAGAACAGTTTACCTTATCCAAGAAGCGAATTTAACATGTTTAAGTCACCAACGGTTATCACCAAGCTCTTTCTATAAGGGCACCCGCTTATGTCGTCTGCGAACCGGGCCAGAGCAGTGACGATGCTCCGGTCATGGACGGATCGCTGCGTCCTTTTACACAGAGATTTCTCCATTGCAAGGCTGTCATTGCGCCTCATTTGAAGAGAATGAGAGGAGTTGCTGTGATCGGAGGCTTCATCTACAGCTACAACCTTATTTAAATATGCCGGTTTACACACTTCTGTGAAATTACCCATACCCGGTGGAACACGTCTCAACACAGAGTGACACTAGCCAGTGACTGGTCTTGCACCGTCACAAAAATGGAGCCCGATGTTTTTTTGGGGGGACGTTTGTGTATGATGGAACCATTTCCCACAACAGTGCAAAATGTGCTATTTAAAATGTTTACAATATTTAAAATGCAGCACCAACTTGCAAATCACAAAACCTAGTATAACTCATCCCTTCGCAGATTTATACCGCGCCAAGCATCAGACATGCATTTGGGGAGGGGAATCAAAAAAACAGTTTCAAGAGTCCACTTTTCCCCAAAAGTATCAATAACAGAATCAATAATGGAATCGTAATAGTAAAAATCTGATCAAGTTCCATCCCTGCTTGCACTGGATACAAAAAATAGAGCCCCTTGTGTTTTCATATTTCCTCAATTAATTTGACGTTACAGTACATACTTTCCACAGGATGGCAAACATGCAATGTTTTAGCACGTAAACAACAACAAAAAAGTTGCTTTTATTTTCAATGAGTCATGAGGTTTTCAAAACTGAATAACAAATTAATTTCATTGTTTTGGTATACAGTAAGAACTTGAATAACGAGACATTCATGTTATCTCAGTAATCGCTTTCCTGTTTTTTGTTTTTTTTTTTTTTAACGGGGGGTGGGGGAATCAACCCCAATTGTTTTTTTCTATTTTATTGCTTTCAAAACATATGATAGTTCAGAATTCTTTAGTACATGTATGCAAGCTCATAAGTTATAATGTAAATGCAAATTTCATCCAGATTTTTTGAAAAATCATGGTGTGGCCGACAACAATACCACAAACAAGCAAAACGCTGTCTTCCGATAACATTTGCGAGAACACAGAACCGCAGGACCGGGTGCTTTTATGTGACCACATTGGCCTCGAGGTGTGGCGCTGACACGGGTGGAGCGTTCACTGCCGTTTCTCCCTTCTTGGCATGAGAATCGCGTGTAATGCGTATCCGTGTCGCATAATCAAGGATTTCACACTCTTTGAATCTTTGATGTGGGAGAAGCCCACCACCCTCACTGTAACACACCTCTGATCTGCCTCCAATTAATGATGTCAAATGAATGTGTTTACAGGCTCATTAGATTACCACTGCAGAAGTAGAGCACCGTCCTACCACACACACACACACACACACACACACACGCACACACTCACTAAGGCTTCCTCTGTTTTGACATTCCCTTGGAAGGAGGCCTCATGGCAAACCACCAAAGTACTTTTGCCACCACATTTCATATCTGTGCTTCAGTGTGCTAACTCATCCATGATGGCACACACACACACACACACACACACACACATCTGCACCAGTTTGGAGGCTTTTCAGGGCCGATTTAGGCACAGTGTTCCAAGCAAATCCTCCCTTGAGAATTCCAAGAGCATACAGACTCTTAATGGCAGGTGTGGCCTTTCATACTGTCTGTTAAAGCCTTGATTTCTTCTGTGGTTCACTGTTCTGAATTATTTGAATCGAAAATATGATTGTGCCTTTAGAGCTAATAGCTCTTTTAAATTTGGAATGCAAACAAATGTTAATTTGGAATACAAATAAATAGTTTTTTTTGTTTTTTTTCTTGGAAAAAATTGTTTTGTACAGAAAACAAAGGAAGAATCTGAAACCTACCCTAAATATTTATAAAAATATAGGAAAAAACATCTGCAAATGTGCGGGTGCCACAGGAGTTGATTCTAGTTTTAAGTGGTAATATCACCATTCACCACTAGATGGCAAACGTGGGATTTACAACTTGAGTAACCCTAAAAAAAATGTTGCAGATGTGGAATGATATGCAGGACAAACATAGTACATCAGTAAAATTAAAATTTTGAGTGAGTTTATTTTTGTAAAATTGTGCACAAAATGAATTCTTGCACTTAATGTAGGTTTGGTGTTCAGCAGTTTTGCACAATCCTTGAACGGTAGCTTTTTTTTTTTTTTTTTTTTAATGCAAAAGAGCCATTTGCACTGGAAAAATAATCACAGTATGTGGTTATTTTGTTGTTTGCTTTGTTGTCGGGATCTCCTATACATGCCTTTCGAAATGTATTATGAAAAATGAAATAGATTCAACAGTACATAGTACATATTTTGGACATTTGCACATATTTTGCCCATATTTAAAATGGCGTTTTTGTCACACATCTTTTTTTTCGTACACGAGCCTATCTGGCACTCCAGATGCACCGATGAAAAATAGTGGACCCCTCCACCCCTTAAATTGCTCATCCCTAATTTAGACTCTTCAATTTAGCCAACACATGTTTTGAGAATATGAGCGGAAGCCAGTGTTGCCACAAAAAAACGCAAGCACGGGGAGAACATGCAAACACTACGCAGGAAAGCCCAATTCCAGACTCCAACCCCCAATTTTGCCCATATTTAAAATGGTGTTTTTGTCACACATCTTTTTTTTCGTACGTGATCCTATCTGGCACCCCAGATGCACCAATGAAAAATAGTGGCCCCCTCCACCCCTTAAATTGCTCATCCCCGATTTAGACTCTTCAATTTATCCAACACATGTTTTGAGAATATGAGCGGAAGCCAGAGTTGCCACAAAAAAATGCAAGCACGGGGAGAACATGCAAACACTACGCGGGAAAGCCCAATTCCAGACTCCAACCCCCGACCGACCCTTAGGTCTGTAAACCAAATGTGCTAACCATTACAATGCTGCCATTCAGAGGTGTGTTTTATTGTCAAATAAATGCTTGTTAATTTTACCCATAGACAATCAAGTAAATCCAGTCCAATGACCAACCCTTATCCAGAATTATAGAAGACAAAGCAACAGTCGAGCTCATTACTATGCATCAGAGTTGTTCATGTTTCATTCATCAAGCAACTCACTCACTCGGTCCACACAGCAGGTTGTTAGCATGCAAAGCAGCTTTAACCTCCCTATCACACCCTGTTGGGTTGGAGGTCAGGCCCCCCCATCTACAAGCGCTCTCTCACCGTAACGCACGCCAAGGGGTCTCCACTTTCAATACTGTACACTAATGAGATGAGTGAGAATCACAGGGTCGGGCAAAGCCAGCTGTTGCCATTCATATTTCATAGCTACATATATGTTTCGCCGTACACCTGTGATTGATGTAATGGCTTCTTTAATTGGCAAGGCATGCAAGTTAAGTGTGTAGCTGTGTAGCAGGGATGTGCACAGGAAGTCATTAAAGATGATTACATGTCTACTGTAAGTGAGTATAAGTCGACTGCTACCTGCTATGGAAGTTAGCATTTGTTTCCTGCAAGAACTTTAATTGGCAAGGCATGCAAGTTAAGTGTGTAGCTGTGGAGCAGGGATGTGCACGGGAAGTCATTAACGATGATTAAATGTCTACTGTAAGTGAGTATAAGTCGTCTGCTATGGAAGTTAGCATTTGTTTCCTGCAAGAGGCTGTTGAGTTATAGGTTGCCCCCTGTTGGTGAGGGCTGTCAAATAATTAGCCTCTAACAGAAACGTAGTAGAATGTATGTAAATATTGCCATGTTTGTCCAAAACACAATTTCAAATCAGTTTTGATTTTTGATTTGGACAAGAAAAAAACAGTTTGAATCATTTTTAAAGTGTAGTTGCAGATGCATTTTCATTCATCAAGCAACTCACTCACTCGGTCCACACAGCAGGTTGTTAGCATGCAAAGCAGCTTTAACCTCCCTATCGCACCCTGTTGGGTTGGAGGTCAGGCCCCCCCATCTACAAGCGCTCTCTCACCGTAACGCACGCCAAGGGGTCTCCACTTTCAATACTGTACACTAATGAGATGAGTGAGAATCACAGGGTCGGGCAAAGCCAGCTGTTGCCATTCATATTTCATAGCTACATATATGTTTCGCCGTACACCTGTGATTGATGTAATGGCTTCTTTAATTGGCAAGGCATGCAAGTTAAGTGTGTAGCTGTGGAGCAGGGATGTGCACGGGAAGTCATTAACGATGATTAAATGTAAGTGAGTATAAGTCGACTGCTACCTGCTATGGAAGTTAGCATTTGTTTCCTGCAAGAAGCTGTTGAGTTATAGGTTGCCCCCTGTTGGTGAGGGCTGACAAATAATTAGCCTCTAACAGAAACGTAGTAAAATGTACAGTATGTAAATATTGTCATGTTTGTCCAAAACACAATTTCAAATCAGTTTGGATGTTTGATTTGGACAAGAA